GATCATGTAGCCGACCCCACATAGTGGGATAAAGGCTTGATGTTGTTGTACTAGTTTTTTTATCGAATTTATGTATATCATCTCCTTTATAATTCTGACTCATATGAATTAGTTATTGATTCTCTCTTTATGTTGTTTTCTTTAGTAGAAAAAAATTGAGTCTTAGTACTTGGCAAAAAAAGGTATTTCCTACGTATGAAGAAATTCTTTTGGATGTAAATTTTTGTTGTTCAAAATTCAAGGCAAGTTGTAAAGTATGCTCAAGTGAATTAATGTTATTTGTTATCATGTCACCTTTAAAGTTAGCTCTTAAGCCATATCCAAACATATACAACAACAACAACAAGAACAACATGCCTTTATGTGGGGTCGACTACATGAATCCTTTTTCTCCATTGTCCTGTTAAGAGTCAAATTTTCATCTAAATCTAATAAAGAATTGTCATTTCTAATATTTTCTAACCAAGTGTTTTAGTTCTACCTCTACATTTCTTAAGATAAGTCAAATCTAATTCATATACTTTCCTTACTGGGTCATCAGAAGGCCACCGTTTTATGTGAACAAACCATCTAAAGCGACTCTCTCTAATCTTATCTTCTACTGAAGCTACTCCAACCTTTTCTCGTTTATGCTCATTTCGTATCCCGCCTCTAACAGTAAAGCCACTCATCCACTTGGGTATCCTTATCTCTGCAACACTTAACTTAATATCATGCACTCTTTTAATGGTCAACATTTTGCACCATAAAGCATTGCATGTCTCACTACCATCATATAGAATTTTCCCTTAAGTTTGAGAGGGACTTTTCTATCACACAACAAGCCCGATGTATTTCTCCATTCAACCATCCAACTTGGATTCTACTAATACTATCCCGATCTATTTCACAATCACTCTAAACAATAGACCAAATATATCTAAAACGTGTATCCTTATTAATGACTTGATCACCCAAAGTCACAATCAACCCACTAGATCTAATATTACTAAATTACATTCCATATATTTAGTTTTAGATCTACTCAAACGAAAGCCTTTAGACTCTAAGGTTGACCTCCGTAGTTCAAGTTTGCCTTCAACTCCCTCTCTAGTCTTATCAACAAGAACAATATCATAAAAAAAAAACATATACTAGGGTATAACCTCTTGTAAATGTCTAGTGAGAACATCCATGACTAAAGCAAAAAGATATGGGCTTAAGGTTGATCCTTAATGTAATCCAACTGAAATAGGAGCATACTTGATCAAACCACCTTGTGTTTGAACACAAGTAACAACTCCTGCATGCATATCTTTAATGACTTGAATATAAGCATTATTAAACCCTTTCTTATGTAGAACTCTCCATAGCACTTTTCTTGGAACTTTATCATATGCTTTATCTAAATCAATAAAAATCATATGTAGATCCTCCTTATTCTCTCTATACTACTCCATCAAATCTCTCAATAAATGTATAGCTTTCATAGTAGACCTACCTGGCATGAATCCAAATTGATTTTGAGAAACATTAGTGTCATGTCGCAGTCTATGCTCCATAACTCTCTCCCATAGTTTTAAAGTATGACACATTAACTTAATTCCTCTATAATTCGCACAATCTTATCCATCAACTTTATTATTAAAAATAGGAATCAACACACTCATTTTCCACACATGTGGCATCTTTTGTCTTCAAAATAATATTAAAAAGTTTAGTAAGCCAAGAAGTTCCTTCATTTCCTAAGAATTTTCACACCTCTATTGGAATATCATTAGATCCAACATCTTTTCCACACTTCATTTTCTTTAAAACCTTTTTAACAGGGCATAATGGAGAAAAATGATTCATATAGCCGACCCCACATAGTGGGGTAAAGGCGCTATGTTATTGTTGCTGATAAAAAAATTATTTTCATTTAGGGTGCTAAGGTCACTAAAGTCAATTGCATTCTCATAATCTTCATTGAAATGTTTACCAAAATATCTCATTCACCTTTGTTGAATATCCTCTTCTAATAAAAATACTTTTTGATCTTCATCCTTTATACACTTCACTTGAACTAGATCCTTACTACTATCTTTGTTTAACTAACTTATACATATATCTTTCACCCTCCTTAGTATATAATATATTATATAAATCATTAAAAGATAAAATCTTTGCATTATAAATTGTTTTCTTAGACTCCTTATGGGTCTCGTTATATCTTTCCCAATTATTCTAATTTTTATAATTAAACCGATTTTTATAACAAATCTTCTTATTTTTATCTTTGCTTGTACATTTTAATTCCACAATCAACTATTTTTACTATTATGAGTTTTTCCCTTTGATACTCCAAGCACATGTTTTGCAACATTTTTAATATCACAAGTTATTTTCTCCACATATTATTAGCTTCCTCATGCACAGACAAAATCTTAAGATCTAGAATCTTACTCTCAAAAATATTTTTTAAATGCCCCATCTAATCTTAGAATAATAATTTACTTTATTTTTTATTTTCTGCCCCTACATCTTAAATTCAAAAACTAATAAACGATGTTGGGTACATAAACTTTCACTCGGAATAACTTTACAAATTTTGCAATCTAAACAATCTATTTTTTTATCTATCTAAACATCTAAAATGTTATTTTTTTATCCTCGCTTATTTCCGAATACAAAAACAATTGTTCAAACTTTTGTATATTTTTTGTTACAGTTTTTTCAATACTGCTAAGATTATGATTGTTATTTTTCTTTTATCTATAATTTGATTTGACACAAAATAATAGTAGGTTATTGTATTGATCGTTTCCTATATCTTTCAATAGCTATCTACTGCATTTTAGTTTGTTCGATTTATTTTAGTTTCACAAATCTTTTGCTCACCAGCATCATTTACCAATTAAAGAAGTTATCTATAGACATTACTTAGAAAAAGCTTTAGAATTTATTCTCCTATCAAATCTTGATGTATCGATTTTAACTTCCATATTTATGTTTTCATTAATGTCATGAAGTATTACCTATATTTTAAATAATTTTCATTAGTATACATCCACTTACATTTGTCCTCTATATTTATATAATGGTGAGTTTCTCATCTCCTAACAGGATTCTGAATAGATTCTTCATTAAGGCTAGATTCATTATCCAATTCTTTTTGGTGAAATTATATTGTTTCTGATGTGTTAAGTTTGTCTTTAACCTCATTTATTTCTATCTTCATTTGATTTTGGTTTGCTAGCAATCCTCTCAGTAGTTTTGTTGAGTAATTAAAATATCTTCCCTTTAGTGATTTGTCAGCAAAACTTAATGTTGACCTGCACTCTAGTCATTGTGATATGTCCTTAGCTTTGATATCAATTTGACATAGGTTGTCTTAGGGTCTAGGTTCAATGATGTCAACATAAGATGGAATGCACAAAAACATGTAAGATAGCACAATTCACATATTCCCAAGTATTAACTAATTTAAGTAAAGATTAATCTCTTCTTATGTAAAACTAGAAAATGTATTTCATTCATTCCACATGATGATGTAAAAGTCATCAAAATTTGAAATTTCACAGCAAAAATAAGAACCAATATAAAATTTTGCAATGAATGAAATTTACATAAAGTAAATATTTATATATTGATTTTGATAAAATCTTAATCATACACTTATAATAATTACTAAACAATTGAGTAGAACCAATAAAGGATAGAAGTCACCAATAGGAAAACTTAGAGCTCACATTTGTACAAGAAGAATCATCCGTCAAGTTGCCGTCAAGTTGCCATCAAGTTATGCCAGCGCTCGAGAGTAACTTGCATCCATCAACACTCCTATACTCTGAAGAAACATGACTTTTTTATTCAGAATTCATTGAAAATTACATTCCTTAGGGCTTCTATTTATAGCCTAAAAATCCCCAGAATTAATAGCCTCTCAAAATCCATGAAGATCTAGCCTTGTACACATTGAATTCTAGCAAGTGCAGTAAGTATTCAACCTTAATTTCAACAAAACATTAAAATTTTAACTTCAACATTCCCATTCCAGCAATTCTAGGAAGTCTCGGTCTTCTTGCTGCAATAGCAAAGGAAGGAAATCAATCAACTGAGCATAGAAGGAAATATGCTGCAAAAGAGGAAGGAAGCTGCTAAATAGGAAAGCTGCAAAAGAGGTAAGTCACAAAAGAAATTGCAGCATAGTCCTCAGGTTGAACATAGCTTCATTGCAGCAGCAAGGAAGGGAAGGAAACAGTAAACTAGAGTGTGCTAAAGCCATATGAAGGAAGAGAAGATTGAATTGTTGTTGATGCCAATTGAATTGAACCACTTGCAGAAGTAAATCAGGCCCAGGTAATAAAAAAACTAGTGAGTACATCCCTTTTCATAGGTACTTTCATCAGAGGGATATTTTTAACAAAATAAACTAGAAAACCAATTACAATACAATCTCAAAATGCTTATCTCAATGTTCACTTTTTGTGTTTCCGGTGTATTTTACCTTTCCATCAACTTTGCACGTTTACTATGACTTTTATCTTCATAGTCGAGTACTATATGTGAATCCTCTGATTAGTATTACCTCAATTGATTTCCATGATATACAAATGCTATGTCTTCCAAGCTTAAGACTTCTTTGAAGGATATCTAAACAGTATTTGTACACTAAAATGTAGAATTTACTCCATTCACGCACAAATTCTAGATAGAAACTTATGCAATTTTAAGTGTTTTTGGGACATAGTGATGTAAACCAGCACACTAATTTTATATCAAGCCTATTTATTTCTTTATTACTGGTTTGGTTTATCTTTACGATGTTTTTATGTTAGTGGTAAAATCTTAAAGGTTTGGTTTTCTGATGCTAATTAAGTATTATAACTACATTGTGCTCCTAAATTTGTCTTGCTTTTAAGATCTTCAAATTTATTGTCTTTTAGAAAAAAATTATCATTGATTTCTTGTCAAAACAAATGAAAAAGATATTTGTTTGGTCAAATCGATGTACTAATGTGTGCTTGTGACATGTGCAGGCTATCATGTGTGCACTACAATAGGGCAAGCATCAAATCTCGATATTTCTTTGATCGGTATTGTTTGAATCCTAATGTCCTAAATTAGTGCTACTAATCTCATATTACTTGGTATTCTTTTCTATCGCTACACTTTTGCTTAATTTGATCATTGTTTATGCTATTTCCATTGATACGATGCCTCTTTTAGTTTTCTAATCAATTTCAATTCTCCATCCTCCTCACCATTTTGTTCATCAAGCTAAACAGTCAGCCTGGCCAAATGTTTGGACAATTACCTTTTATTCATGTTACCCGCGCAGATGCGACCTGCTCACATAGAACTCGAAGGATGTTTAGATAGATATGATGCGTTTAAACACCAAAAAACTTCTAGTTGGCTATCCTGAACTTCAGGCTAATCATTTTTTTTTGCTTCTCTTTTGGTTAAAGTTTATTTTGATGGTGTTTGGCTATTTGTACTACTCAATCATCATCAATTTATGGACAATGATGATAGTTAAAAAACTTTCTTAACATATATCAAGATAATAATGATTTATTTCTTTTTTTAGTATTCATCTCATATATGACTTTTACTTGATTTTTTTACTATTGAAAGCTTTTTTTTCTTCATTTTGTTCTAATTAAACTAGTTATGACTATGAGAGAGATGCATAATAAGATATTAAACATTTTTTTTTGTATTTTGTTTTTACTATATTGCATAATTATAACTTCTTTTTTTTGAATTAGAAGTTTTATAACCAAAATAATGAGCAAATGTAGTTTCAAAGAAACTGGCAACATAAAAAAGAAATAAAATGCATTGGATCAAAATAATTAAAGCACTAAGCAATTACTATCCATTTACAAGGAGAAAGGAGTCCCCACATTTAGATATCACGTGTTGCATGGAATCTAGTAAATCCTGATGATTGAAGAAAAAACTTTTTTGAATTGTGCCCCTTTGAAAAAATGTTAGCCATTAAAAGAGAAGCATAAAATTAAGTGTCGCAGAGATGATTTCAGGTGGATGAGTTGTTTTACTTTTAATGATAATGTGAAACGCATATGCTCGTGAAAAGGTTGTACTAGCTCCAATGGCAGGTAAAATTATAGAATCACCTTATATGGTTTGATTACATAAACATCAACTAGGGGTGTAAGTGAGTCAAGCTGATTCGGGCTCGGCTCGATAAATGGCTCGTGAGACGAGCTTGATGAGCTAACAAGTTAAGCTTGAGCCAGACCTGACTCAACTCATTAGCTCGTGAGCTAGCTCATTTTAAAAAGTATTAATATAAAATATACTTAAAATATATTAGGATTTAGAGTTTTAAGTACGAAGTTGGTAAAAATATTTAAAAATGATCTCTCACTTTCTTATATTAAGTGATTATTTATTATTTTTCTTATAATTTCTAATTCTTTTTTATCTTTTAATTTTAATAATTGCTTAAATCATGATGATTCTCTTTCTTTCATAATAAATGAGTAGGCTCTTGAGTTTCTCAAACTCGTCAAATAAAGCTCAATGTCGAGCTCGAACTCTATTAATTAATCAAATCAAAGCTCAAGCCAAGGGTGACTTGAGCTCGGCTCAATTCATTTACACCTCTAACGTTGGCCTTTTGATGACCCGATTAGGATAGTAGATGTATTAGATTTGGCCTATAATAAGAAAGGTAGATATAGACCTAAAAAGACTTGGTTATAAAGTATTAGAAATTATATTTTCTTATTAGATTTAAATAAGAATTTGGCTTTTAATAGGACAAAATGGAGAAAAAAGGATTCATGTAGCCCATCCCACGTTGTGAAATAAAGGCTTGATGTTGTTGTTGATGTTACCTCTTTGAGAAAGCACAAATTGAAAACCTATATCCACTAAATAAGTTAAACTTTCGATTGAATCTTGAGTATGAATTGAGTTGGATGTTGACCTTGATATATGCCTGACGTAGCACAATCAAATGTATCATCAAAGACGATTGACTGATGCTGTGTCGTGCAATATTGGTTTGAAATGCACCATACAAATCATAAAGCAGTTATAATATTGTTCATTTTATGAAATAGACGCGTCAATTTATTTGCAATGTAAAAAATATCTTAAAGTTACAACATATTGCATGGGTCACCACTTGAGAATAATTCAAAAAATGACCTGCTCGTGAGATAATGGAACATGTTATAGATGAAAATATACAAGCACAATCAATTCTTACATAATGTTTTTATTATTTAATTGCATAAATATAAATGTATATGTGTACAAAAGTAGAAATATGTAAAATCACTTTTATTGCATACTTTTTGTACATAGATTTGAGGTATTTATAAACTTCTTCAAAGATATTACATACAACAACAACATCAAGTCTTTATCCCATTACTTGGGGTTAGCTACATGAATCATTTTTCTCTATTGTGTCATGTTAAAAGTCAAATTCTCAACGAATCTGACCTAAGGGTATTATTTAGAATTCTACAATATTTGAACAGAGCTCCGAGCAAAAAAATTCTATTCAAGAAGGGAGGATTGACTTTTGAAGCATACACAAATGTAGATTATACAAGTTCGGCAATTGATAGGAGGCTAACTTCAAGAAATTGCATATTCTTAGGTGACAACCTTGTTTTGGTGTAATAAAAAATAAAATATGATAGCAAAATCCAGTGTAGAAATCGAATGTAGATCCATGGAGCTAAGAATATATCAATTACTATGGCTAAAAGTTATTTTGGAATATTTAAAAGTTGAATGGAAATTTCCTATGGGGCTCTATTGTGATAATAGGCTAGCCATCAAAATTGCATGTAATCATGCATAACCTGACAGTATAAAGCATATTAGAATTGATAGACAGTTTATAAAGGAAGAGCTTGATAGTGGTTTAATCTATACTCTATTCGTTACCATAGGTAAACAATGGGTTGACATTCTCAACATAGGATTATTGGAGGCAGTTTTTTTTCTGAAATTATTAGATAAGGTTGGAAAGGATCGCATCCATTCTGATGTGAAACAATGCAAAGGAACAAGAACTGCTTGAAGATTTTAATATAAGATTATTAAAACTTTGCTAGTTATAGAATTGATGCTTACCCAAATTAGGCTTTCGGAACTATCAATTAGAGACTATGCAAGGCATGTAGTTACAACTAGATTAACGGGATGCTATTAAATTAACAACATAAAATAAAGAGTGTAATGTTATGGCGAAGAAACAATAATCCACGGCTACGTTTAAAATTGCGTAAATAAGCCTCGAGACGGTTTTCGTCCGTGAGGCGAGGCGTAAGCCTCAAGGCGGTCTGAGGTGTAAGCGTTACGGATGCAGAATTGCATAAATGAGAATTTAAGGATTTTAGCAGGTAAATAATAACAATATTCTATCATACAATAAAAACATCTAAATGACAAGTGTAATTAGTGGAAATTAAGAAAAGAGATGCAATAAAAGCATGTTCCAAAGTACAAAACCACAAAATTATAGTCTATCAGAACTCCCAAAATACAATTAAGAAGGAACATATGAAATTCAATCATATCCCATCACTAAATGGGTCTTCAAGGGATTCTTCTTCTCCAATTGTATCTATGAATGTTATATCTTCATCATCTTCAATATGACTCATTTTTCTCTTCCCTGTTCAATGAGAATGTTCATTAATTCATTATCATGTTAATTGCTCACTTGATATAAATATAATGCAATAGCATATAAGAAGTTGTGGAATGCCTTTACTTAATTGTTGTGCTGCAGAGCTAGTGGATGTGTGTGGTGTGATACTAGTTGATGTGCCCACTTGATCTGCTTCGCCCCTCAAGACTTTCACACTTAGGTCCTCTAGCTGTAAGTCTGATAATGGCAAATCTGTTTCATCATCTATGAACTACTCATTATCAGATGACACATCATCACACACCAACCGGTTCTCATCATCCTTCAACCCCTTATTCCTCAACCTCCTATCTCTTAACCTCTTGTTGTGCATTATATATACAAGAGAGTTCATTATGAGTGTTGATAGCCGATTTCTTCTCTTTGTTTGCACTTGATTATATGTATTCCAGTTTCGCTCATACACAGAAGAAGAACAAGTGAGGCCCAAAACTCTTACAACAAAACTCTGTAACTCAGGGGTGGAATCACCAAATTGGATCCACCATTCAATTGTTTTCAAGAAGAAAAATGATAATCAGAATTTAATAAAATGTCTTGCATTTACCAAAATAATTATACCTGGAGATCATTTGGCAATTGTTAATTTTGCTGCACGCAGACCAAAAAAATCATCTTTATTCCGAAATAGAACAAGTTGTAAATCTGCAAGCTCTCTATCTGTCTGCTCCGGTATTAGTCGTTTCATGCAATGATACAGACCAAGCTTCATCCTGGGTTTGAAGATTTCCTCTCTGAATATTGAAATTGAGGATTGAGATAATATGCCACTGCATATAGATGACGGTGTAACTATACCTCCCACCGAGCATCAATGATATCCCAAATCTCTCTATAACTTGCCTCTTCTCCTCCCGAGTTGTGTGCAATAAACTCCTTGGCCTCATCCATAGCATTATAAATAAAACCCATGGCTGGTTTCTTCTCGGCATCCACTGAACGTAGAACTTGCACTAAGGGTCTCGTGCTCAATATGGCATAGGTCACATAGCCCAAAATTTATCATTTAGAATTATTTTTCTTATTTCCTTCCCCTCACTTTTCTTTCCCCACGCAGAGTTAAGCCATTATGTTGATGTAAACATTGCTTCCAGAGATTGTCTCACATCCAATAAGCTTTGCAGTGTCAAATAAGATGTGGCAAACCTGTAGATTTGCAGTGCATAAATGTAAGAACATACATTAGGAATTGATAATGACTTGCAGTGCACAAATGTAAGAACATACCTAGTGGTTGCAGGGCGAATGATTTCCTTCTTTGAAAACTTTCTCATCAAGGCTAAGACCCATGAGTGATTGTAGATAAACTTTGTGATCTTCTTCGCCCTAGAAAGAGCGCTCTTGTGATGAGGCAAGTCACCAAGTTCCTCTAAAATGAGATCATTA